ATTCGATCGTGGAGTAAAGCTGGGATCTACACGCCTTCACTGCCGCTACTTAGAGCCTCAGTGATGACCGATGGGATGACGCCCTTGCGTCGCTCAAGGGGACGAGTAACATTTAATCTGCTTAGTACCTAATTGACTGTGTTCTGCGATGTCCCATACAAAGTAACCGTGTCCTCTTGACGTTTTCCACCTTCTTCTGGATTAGTCCTCGACGTTTTCTACGTGCATCGGGATTAATCCAATGTTCGATCGAGTCTTGGCATTCGATTGATATCGAATCTACGGAAGACACATTCGATTCGATCCGAATCTACTGGAGACACGTTCGATTCGATTCGAATCTACGGGACAAGAATAGTCATGCATTCGATTCGATTCGAATCTACAGGGGTCACATTCGATTCGAACGCCAAGGCTTGGCGTTCGATTCGATAGATTCGTAAGATGTCTGACCCTGCTTTTAATAGAGCTTCTTACACTAGCTCTCGACCTAAGATCCTCACACCTGCTAACATTTCAACCTGCTAGCATTACAACCTGCCTGCACGTAATAATACATCTTACCAGCCTTACATCCTGCTGGCATTACATCCTGCCTGTAGCGATCAGACTCCTTCGAGGATTCCTATTCGTCACATCCTAGTCTCCTGGCGCCCTTCGGGAAGAAGTTCCTGCTACTGCTATTGCCGGCAGGATAAATTCTAAAAGGCTTGTCGACTCTTCCATCAGGCACCAGCCGGGTTTGACTCAACCCGACGAAGGCTGTGGTAGCAGCGGCGTCAGCAGCAACGAGCACTGGGTGACCATATCCATACCAAAATCATCCTAAATATTCGCCAACAGCTAGTATCGGCTCGAGTGTGTCGCTTCACAGTACTGCATTCGTGTTTGGGTGCCATTGCCGTGCTACCTTGAGGCGTAAGCCAGCTCATTCCGCCCAGTTCGATGTTCCGTTGAAGATCGAACAGCCCTTTGCCACCACCGTAATCTTATTGTAATGCATTTCGCCTTCTGTTCATGGATTCGGTAAGGCCAGTAGCCTTGAAAGCTTTGACCCCTCGCTTCAGCGATTGGGTTGACCGGGCTGCCGGCAGTAACCGAGATTCATGTGTCATCAGTTCAAGCATCCATCACCAAGGTCGCAGCAAGATTCCATGAGACAAGATTCAGGTTCTGTACTGGCCAGGTTCATGCCGCAATATGTCGCATGAGCTGGTCTCGGTGAGGCTACCTGCATCGTGTTGGACTGACGCATGGGTTGCTCTGACGTATGCGTGGACAAAGGCTTGCCCTAGAAGGCTGACATTTTGTGTCGTGATCCGTCCACTGCGACGCGACCCGTCTTCCCAGTCACAGCCATGTTTGTTCACACAGTGTAGAAGCCCCCCTGCAGAGTACATGACAGGTTGAGTTGGTTCGCATGAGGCATGAAGGACAAGCCGTCTGCTGGTCCCTCGCTGACGTGGACAATTAGCAGCACGCTCGGGCTCGACCTCTCTTTCTCTTGCCCGACCTCCTGAATTAGCAACGCTCCATGCCCCACATCAACGGCATGAAGAGGCGGCTAATTGCGGACATTGGCGCCGAGCTAACGGGTGAACCCGCATTTACGACTGGCAACAGCCATGCTACTGGCGGCCGCTATGCTCATTATCGAATAGCTGGGGAGGCAATACCGATCAAAGGAAGTCGATAAGTAACTAGTGCTGCTTCTTTGGTACAGTACGACCTCCTTGAACCCGTCTTGTGGATGGCTAGGGTAAGCTACCCGCCCGGGTTATGACAACCGGCCGTGCACACATAAAGTCAAATCGTGCCAGTCTGTCCTTACCTCTCTCCTCACCTCCTTTGCCTTGCACTTTCCACTTCCAACACGGCAGAGCCCTGCGATTGACCTGGCGCAGCTGCACATCCCATCACTCGGCAATCCTATTGGACTCACAAGCTGCGCCTTGCTACAGGGGTCCTTTTCAGCTGCTGAGGCCTCCCCGCACGCAAATCCCGCAAACATGTTGCTGTTCCACGTCGTCAGTGATGACAATCCGTTGTCGTCCTGACTCATCGATCCGAGCAGAAGCCACCTCGCTGATACCGTCATATCGGACAACAAGGCCAAGGTGTCCCCTTCAAAGTGAAAATGGCGTCTCGCTGGGTCGAGAAAGCCAAATCCAAGGCCAGGAGGCTATTGCAGCCAGCTCCCCAAGACTCTGCCTCCGCTCCTTCACCAGCTACATCATCGCCAACACCGTCTCGACCTCCATCCGAACTAGCAACTCGACCAACATCTCAGCCAACGCCTTCCCCGCCCACCTCGACAGATTCCAAAACCTCGCCGCTGCCGAGTCTACAAGAGCGACTTTGGAACCAGGCCTACGACGAGCTCAAAGCGAGCGAGCCCAAAGTGGTCGAAGCGTACGAGAAGATCCTATCAGCTGAACTTTGCCGAAATGACTCGACCTCTGTTGCATCTCGACCAACGGAAAACGAGATAGGAAGGATTCGGGAGACAAGATGTCGCCAAATGCAGCAGTTGGTCCAGGAAGGACTGGACCGGACGCAGAAGGCAGCGTCCATCAAGCGAGGCATCGACGAAGGCTTGCAAGCAGTGCAAGCGGTGAGGGGAATAGTAGACAAGGCGGTACAGGCCGCTCCGGAAGCCGCCGTCGCCTGGGCCGGCGTCTGCCTTGTACTAGAGGTGTGTGTGATTAGCCTTCGCAATCGAAGAGAGAACGGTGGACTGTCCCCCGGCTGACAGATGACAGATCCTTTCGAACCCCGTCACCGAGGCACGCGACAATCGCAAAGGCATCGCCTACGTCCTGTCGAGAATGGAGTGGTACTGGAACTTGGTGTCCCTGCTGCTTGACGAGAACAAGGCTGAGCAATCCTCCGCGGGACTGCGAGTCCAACTGGAGAAACACGTCGTGCAGCTCTACGAGAAACTTCTCTCGTATCAGATGCAGAGCATCTGCCTTTACCATCGTAACCGGGCTGCCGTCATCGGAAGGGACATGCTCAAAATCGACGACTGGGCTGGCCAGCTCAGCGAGATCCAGGAAGCCGAGGGTGCCGTGCAAAGAGACATGGAACAATACAATACCGAAGAGAGCAGGACACAATTTCGGAAACTTACCGACGCCGCAACTGCCCTAGAGATGAATCTCCAAGACATCCATTCGGCCATCCAGGACCAAACACGGCAGCAGGAGAGGAGACACCTAGACGACAGGGACAAACAATGCCTGAAAGACCTGCGCGAGACTGACCCTCGCGACGACAAGACGCGCATATGCAGCATTTGCAAGGACTCCTCGAGTTTGCGTTGCTCCCGTTGTAAAGGGCAATGGTACTGTTCCGAAAAATGCCAGCGGGCTGATTGGCCTACACACAGAAAATCATGCGGTGTTGTCGTCGTCATTGACGGAGTTCATATCTTTCCCGGCTTCAAGGCTCGGTTTGGTAATCGTCTCGAGTCGTCTTCTCCCTCACTTGCTGGATCATCGATTCAAATTACTTGCTATCCGAAAAGCGCATGGAGCTTCTCTGCTCTTCTCCCTAGGGATAAAACGCTGGTTCGCGGCATGGTCGCATGGCTTTGTCATAGAGCAAGAGGACAAGTCCTTACGTCCATGAACATCGTTACCCATACCGATATCGCACGAGATCTAGCAATCGACGTTTTAAACACCACCCCTTGGCCAAGCACAATGATCATGGGCCTTAACGGCAGCTCCATGCACTCCAAAGATGAAGTCGACGTGTCGACTGTACTCATCCAGATGAGTGAGGCACTGCTGGCAGCAGGACGCAAGACTGAAGACCCAGAAGTCAAGAGGGACCATTATTCGTCAGCCCTATACTCGTTAAGCGGATGGGAGACACACATTACCCCACAGTCGAAGATCGCCTGGAATGATCAGGGCTATTCCGCTTTGACGGAACTGTTCATGCTGAGCAAAGTTCAAGGGCGTACAGAAGAAGCTTACTCTTATGCACTTCTCGTGGTCAGAACAGCCACCAATGGTGCCAAAGGAGATCTGCCGATGTTATGGGAATGCGCAACGGTCTTCCGGGACTCTCAGAATCATGGCCTGGCCATGATTGTGGCGATGAAGTTGAAAAACACGCTATTCGACCAACAAGCCACGGATCTCTTGAAAGAGGTTCGTCCCCGCACCAATGACATTCTGACCTGGATGGCGTCAGAAGCTTGTCGCTCCTGGAATAAGAATGTCGACCGACGAGACAAAATCGCATCCTTGCCACGCTGCACTCAATGCGAAGATCAAGCGACATGCCTGATCTGTCAGGAAAATCTTTGCGGAGAGTCGGTCCGATTGAAATGCTCGCACTTGTTCCATCCTCCCTGTATTCAAGCATGGCTCGCCGACGAGTCCACCTGCCCAACCTGCAGAGCTGTTGTTCTTGAAGCTTGATGTTTAGATATAGAAAATGGACTCGCTTATCAGACGTCGGATTAGCATGAGGGGTGACACCGGTGAAAATAAAACAATACAGAGAGTATCTTGCTCATTGTCCTAGGTTCTATCACTGAGTGACATGGTTCAACTGTCACCTAGCCTCACATCGCAACGGCGATCAAAATCACGGAGCACATGCGGACACGTTCTCTAATCTACTGGGGCATTTGACTGACCAGAACGATGGAAAGATTGCATATGTATATATATTTTATGTCGTGCGGCGTGGAAATAGACAGTTCTTCAAATAATGAGCTAGACAAGTACAAGAAAAGCGAAGAGTCGCGGTTTGATAACACGGTACGAATTCCACGCCTTCATGGCCTAGTGCGAGATCCAATTAATCATGAGCCGCTAATCCCCTACCTCGATCGACTGAATGATTTCCATCGCTCTTTGGGACCTCAAATGATCTGCCACCTGTGATAGGTTAGTCGACGGCACCGAACATCATTCGGCAGAAACCTACGATGGCATCTAAGTTTGGAATGTCTTGGCTTTCCGGAACGTGCGTTGCACAGATCCACTTGTGGTGAATGGGGTTTCTGTACTCCTACTCTTTTGGTCGGGTGCACCCTGGTACTTAACAGAGAAACCTCCGATCCTCAGCCCAGCATCATCCCAAGCGACGTCCCATGAGGCCGAAGTCAGGGCGGTTCTCGCCAGCTTTGAGGAATGGCCGCTCGAGAATGCTTCGCTCAAGCGCATAACCGAGAACAGCAAAACAACTTTCCAGTTACAGTTCGACTGGACTCCTTGTACAACGCATAGGCATGCTAGCAGCACCGTTCGGGATCGAGTTGATTCACCCTCGACATAGACGACTCCCAAGGCCAAGCGAGCTTCAGCGCCCAGAGCCAAATACACCCCACAGGAAAATGACCTTCTCATCGAGTTGAAGGAGAGTAGGGAGATGCCTGCGTGACCTGAGATTCACCGGCGGTTCAGTGAGGCCTATCCAGGGCGGCCTGTCGAGGGCCTACAGGTGCATTACTTTACGAAGCTCAAAGCGTCGCGAGAGATCCTAGCACGCCTTTGGCGGTGGATGTCAAATATGTCCGGAGCCCGTTTGAGCTGGCGTCTTGCGCCTTGATGGAGTTCAAGGCCGCGGAGAATGGCCTTTGGACTGAAGGAGGAACGGGGGCTAGTTTACGCAGTCGTTTCCGGGACGGAGTGATGGAGTTCTTCAGGTGCGCTTTCATACTAAGTTAATGAGGTAGTAGGAACTATGAAGCCAGGCCGCTAACCCTAGATAGCTAAGCTTAGCTACAACTAGAATGCAGTACTTTAATATACGATGTCGTTCCCTTGCTCCTCGAATGCCCGATAGTGTCAGCCGAGTGCTTAGTATGTCGTCTTTCTACCTCTTAATCTCCTTTCCCTCCTAAAAAGCCATAGGCTCACTAAGTAGCCGCGGATGTTTGGTATATTGGCGATGAATTGGTGATGTACTCTTTACAAATGCTAGGTATCCTCAACTCAGACCAAGTCAAGTTCAATGAGGCGGAGGAGATGTATGAGCGGGCGCTAGAAGGTAGGGAGAAGGCGCTTGAACGTGATCACACATTGACTCTCCGCACGATCAATAACTTGGGTCTCCTCTATAAGGACCAAGGCAAGTTCAAGGAGGCGGAGGAGATGTACAAGCGGGCGCTACATGGTGTCACATTCAGTATAAGCCAAGATATCACTACGCATTAGCGAAGTGTTATTCCCTTTTGCCGTCGTCGGCAATGCAACAGTTATGAGCCCGGTTTGCGGGGTTATGTTGCATTATGCCACCACGACAAAAGGGAACACGCATTCCGCTAGTGCGAAGTGCCATAATGAGTTATATTCTGGCTGCGACATGTCACATTCAGAATATAACTCATTATAGCACTAGGTATTACAAGTCGTCACTTCCTTAATTGCTAACAGCGGCCTACCTGGATCAGCAGGTACTTCTATAAACACGACCAAAGAGGCCAAGTCAACGGGCGACAGTGAGCATACCGTTAGGAGTCGTTACGTCCACATTGAACCGAGCGTTGGCGCCTCGCTGAGAGATAGGTGTTGAGGCTGATGGCATTCGAACTTGAGGCACTGGTCGTGGAGGGGTCATCGCTCGCTGATTTGGTGCCGCGCTGATGCCGGCTTGGTTGAGGCGAGGGATGTCCGGCCAGCGGTCCTGGCCCTGCGCTGGTGGGAATCCAGGCCTCCAGACTGCACGTGGGGAGGAGTCGTTGCATCCCCACGTCATACCTACCTTAAGCTTGGAAGATCCTTGCCACTTGCTAGGTAGATTGTTCCTCAATTGCCTTTTTCGGTAACAACGGCGTTCCAACGCCTTCCCAACGCCTTGTCCTTGCGCTCTTAATTGCAGTATCCTCCCGCCATTCATTGCCCTGGTTTTTCGATCCCGCAACAACTCCTCCCCTGGACTACTCTCGACGACTCCTCGGATCACAGCACAACCATCGTCACAACATCGTCACAACCATCGTCACAACCATCACGTGGAAGTCGTCGTCTCTCAAATGGGTATTGCAATCTCTCTTCTTCCTCTTCTCCCTCGCCCCTGCTCTCTCCTATCTGCTTGCTGCCCTCACTATCGGTTTTGACCTCCTGATCAAGAAACCTACCCTTCCTATGCGACCGCCGAAGGTTGCTTCGCCAAATTCGATACCACCCAAGAAGACTCAATTCTCGATGCCTTCCAAACAACCCAGAATCCCTCATGGGATCCGTGGTGGGCTACAGACCCATCACTCTTCGCCGACTCGTTAGGAGGGCAAGTCACGGGACCCGGTGTCTATGGGCATGATAGCTTCCCGCCCAGCGACTACGCATCCGGCGATCCCCTTGACTATTCGGATCCTGGGAGCAAAGTCAACCCCGTCACCGAATACTCCGCCCCATCCTTGGCTTCCGAGCCGCTCGCTCCCGATGCGTCCTCCGTTTCTTCGGGCAATCGACGTCAATCTTTGGCAGCCGACGAGGAGCCTCGAAAGCGCAAGCGCCGGGCTCGCCAGTCTACGAGAAGCGGGGCTTGTCAGGATGGCGACATCGATACACCTGAAGCGGGGACGCGCCAGAAATCAAGGCGTCGCTCTTCCTCTAACCTAAACTCCGACAGCAACGGCCCCGACTCTCCTGCCCAGCACGGCGATGGTACCAGCAGACGGATAAAGGAGAGGAATCGGGTTGCTTCCAACAAGTTTCGGGTCAAGAAGCGAGCAGACGCGAAGCGGCTCGAGGTTGACGAGCAGGACATGGATCAAATCAATCGCGATTTGACCACTTGTGCCGCCGACCTGACTCGTGAAGTCTACGAGCTCAAGATGTCGCTCTTGCAGCATACCGACTGCAACTGCTCCCTCATCCAGAACTACATCGCCAACCAAGCACAACGCTACATCCACGGCATCGAGGGACCAACGCCTTCTCACCCCTCATGATGAGTTGCGCCCTCTTCTACGGCACTGGCACAAGTTGGGAGGAGTTCATCAGTCCGTCGAAGTCGAGTCCTGAAGCTGCTCCTTATTGGCGTTTGGTATCTTTATTTGATTAGCCTGTGGTATGTCGGTGGGCTAGGATGAAGCGTGCGCTTCGCGAGAGGGTGGGTTTCGTCAAGGGATTTAAGACGGTCGGCGAAGCGGTATCGACGTGCACCGAGTAGCTGGGTAACCGGCGGTATCCCGCTCTCCCGATGGAGGATTGGGATGGGCGTCGTCCTCCATACGGGCAGGATAGCTCGCATGGATTGGTTCATAGCCTTATTCATTCTCTGTACGAGGTGATGAGTCCTTGATGATCGGTCTTTGTTGGGTTGATTCCATCGGGGTTGGATTGCGCCTGGATACCATGCCTCCGCGCCGTAGAGCAAAACTGGTTCGCGGTGAACAAGTGGTGGTAATCACATGTCATCTGATTGCATGTAGTGGCAAGGATGTAAGGATGACGTCAAGCAGTTCAAGGTAATCCCCGCCCATTCTGGGCTACTGCCCACAGCCCATTCCCCACGAAACGCCATCGGTAAACGACAGCAGCCAGTTTATCTTTGGCTATGTCCAAGGCCTCAGCCAATACATGCCATTCACCATTTCCCATTCGATCCCCCATAGGACTGTCTGGTGGGTGGGAGATATGTGGTCATAGATATAAAGACCGCACCACTCTTCCCTTGCACCCTTGCACTGGCTAGCTCAATTTTCTCCTGTCCTGCTTTCTGTCTGACATTCCAGAGTTGAGATATCTTCTCTGCCCCACACATCTATTCCTTTTATGTCCGCTCCGGGTGGCCGAGGCTCTTTTCGTGGCGGCGTGGCCCTAGACGGGGAGGTTTCGATAGCTAAAGAGGGGATAAAAAGCAAACATCCCGATATCTGTTAGGTTTTCCAATGTCCTTCGGACCCTCCTAATTGGCGATACATGTGACAGAAGGCCATCATCAGAATTCATACCCCGGCCCTCAGGCGGAAGTGGCTTGGATGGACTCTGCAGTACATCAGCTCCAGCCCAAAATTGGTTTAGCATGTCCGTGGTGTTGCATTCAATCTCCCAATTCTCCGGCTGCTACTGTATGAGGCTGCATATCGCTGTCGTTGTCATATGGTTGGACAGACCTACTTGCCTGCGTTACCCATGACATCGAACATGCTCTAGATGTTACGGCTTGGTCCACCTGACAGCGGATAGGCTTAAAAGAGCAGTTGGTGTGCCCAGTAATAGCAACTAATGCGATTATTGACCAATATTTTGCCCTATGGTACGCGGTTAAGGCACTGACCGTTGCACTAGAGAGCCGAGGCACAGCAACGATGATCACCCTAGACGTCAAGGGCGCCTTTGGGTGGTTGCAACACCCTTAGAGGCTCGGAGTAAGCACTTGTTCCCTTTCTTGCTGCCTGTAGCAAGAGGAGGTGGCCGTTTGAACTGCTTTCGTATGCAAAACACGAAATAGCTTATGTGGCCTGTGCAACTAGTTCTATACTGTGTACTATACTATACGTAATAATGAGAAGAACATTTCCTTGAATGTGAAAATACTGGGTCAACCCCATCCCCTATAGCGGAACGGCAGTGCTTAGTTTCAACCGCCAAGCTCAAAAACGGCACAATGTTCAGTCGACCGACGAGCGAGAGCTGGTATGGCATTTAACGGATGGTTCGATACGAATGCGATGCCAACCAGGGCAACGACCCTAGGTTTTAGTTGCTTGCTGTCGTGTTCTCTTCGTCGCAGGGCGGACTTTTCGAGTGTGGACAGACCCGTGAAGAGCCGCAGCACTCTCTGTGTGCCAGAAGGATGTTTTTAAGGTCGACCAGTTCCGCCTGTAATTGAGATATCTCGGCCTTCAGTGCCGAGTTCTCTGAATAATGCCCGGTTCGGGAATCCAGGCTCGCTAACTGGACGTTGTCGGGCTCCTCGCTGGTCATCCCGGGCATGCGAAGTTTTGTCATCTCTCAATAGACTAGATCGGGTTGACATCCAAATTAGTCGATATTGAGAAGCTTTCCTCGTATGGATAACTAACAGGGAATTCAAGGTCGACTCTGCCTGCCAACTGACATCTACCATAGCCTTGGCGATCGAGCCCAGTGATCATCTAGATGCCCAGTTCGGACAGCTGAAGCACCCAAGGATGTGAGAAGGAATGCGTGAACGGCACCTCTCCAGCGTTAAAAAAAAACGCTTTGTGATCAGGTCTAAATACCTCAGCTGCAGAGAGAGCGACGTTGCGTTGTCCGAAGCATTCTGTCACAGAGACATCATGACTCGTCAGAAGTTCGACGGCAAGGGGCGAAGCTTGGCGTAAAAATTACAATAGAGCCACAAGGAACTAGTTTCAAGTGCTTAACGTTAAAAGGTTCGTTCCTGCATTTTGGTGGTCACACCTTACGGCCTTACCGAGCTGCTTGGCACGCGCACGTTCTGCCAAGTGATTGGTCGTTAAGAGTCGCATTTCTCACAGTGGGGCGGTAGTCTCGGAATGTTCCGGTCCTAGAGAGATGGCCACTGCGCGCTCGACAGTCAAGAGCGATTCTATGAGGAGGGAAAAGGAATCTGGCTCCGACTCCAGTCGACTCGACGCCACACGATCATCCTGACCGGGCAGCCTGGTTGAACAATCTCGGCTTTATGCTTGGTCGCCGGTATGAGCGGACAGGCCAGATGGCCGATCTGGAGGAGGCTTCATCAAGCCTCCAGGACGCTTGGTATTGTCAAACTGCCATTCCCTTCCTCCGCGTCCAGGCTGCTGCCCGATGCCTCGCACTCCTCGCTATTCAGCGTAGGGCTGACGTCGCTATACAGCTCGGAAAAGATATCATTGACCTCCTCCCAGTCGTAAACACCAGGCTGCTTAACCGCACCGATTAGCAGTTCGTCGTATCGACCTTTGCCGGCGTCGCCGCAGACCTATGAGCCTTCCTAATGGACCTATCCGCAATCTGTGTAGGAACTCTTCGAAGAGGTCTATTAAAAACCCATACAAATGGAAACCGCGCTATTGATGACATGGGGTAGAGTTCCATTGAAAATATCAACGAAGAGTTCTATTAAAACCAGGACAGTAAAAATAAAAATAAAATACATACACAGGAAGATATCAATCAGGAGATATCCCATTCCAAATTACAGACCAGAAGAACCCAAATTGAAGCGTTGCGATACAGTTGAAGTTGCAGACATATTGGGTTGAGGACGTCGAGAGTGGAGCCCGCGGAAGGGTCAGTGCAGGCGGGAGAGACACCAAGCAGAAGGGTCAGTCAAGGCAAGGGTTAGATTTAAAGTTCCAGTCCCACCACAGCAACCAGCAAAAAGCAAATACCAAAAAGAACAAAACAAGACAGTCAAGGTAACATAGTAAAGCGTAAACATCATACATAAACATCATCAAGATGGAGCCGTTTATTTATTTGCCCGAATACCCGTTCGTGATTTGCCAGGCGTGCAGAGTGGCATGCGTTGGGAATGAAGTAACCCGGCATATCACATCAAAGCATGCCGGATCACCAGCGAGTGTCAAGTTAAAGGAGATCCAAGCCGCGGTAGAAGTAATCCCAGGCATTATTCGCAATCAGAAGGAGTTGAAAGATTGGTTAGTCCCACCCCCAACAACAGCCCCCATCCCCCATATCCCGCCACCAAAGGAGGACGGGTTGGGGTGTAATCAATGCCCGTATGTAGCCCGACAGATCAAACGGATGCAGCAGCATTGTCGAGACAAGCACGGTTGGGTCAACAACCGCAAGCGAGGCCGGTACACCAACACATCCGAAGCAGCCATACCGCCCGTGCCGTGGAGGACAGGCGTTCAATGCCAGCGTTTTTTCCGCAACCGCGTGGCCAGCAGTTGGTTTGAAGTCGGACGGACCATCCCATCCAGCAACGAAGGGCCCGACGAAGACGAAGCCAGCCGCCAGGCCGAGTTCGTCATGGCCATACAGCGACAGGCCCGACAAGCGTTTGAGAGCGAGGCCGATGCCCGGATCCAGGACGCCAGTGACAAGTGGGAGGCTGAGAGGTGGTTGAAACGAACCGGATGGCCGGCGCATTTGGCCCGCATCGACAAAACCCGGTTGCGAGAGCAGGTGTTGCAACCGATTGGAGAGAATGAGCAGGTGTTACAGAAGATGTGGGAGATTTTCGAGTGCGTATTGGACAACGCGTACGTGGCCACCAGTCGTTGCAGCCCAGGCACGGCCGAGTTGTTTGAGATTGAACGAAAGGAGGTGACCGTCACCCCCAACAAGCCGTTCGAAGGGATCATGGAGCCGGATGCGTGGGTGCGATATAAGGAACAGTGGCGGATCATGATGTGTATTTGGGTGCGGTTGGAGTCATGGGGGAAGAAAGACAAGGCGAGGGATTCAGGGGATATAGACGCAGATGGCATGGAGGATGCAGACACGGACGGCACAGACGATACAGAGGATTCAGATGATACGGACGACGCAGAGTATTCAGATGACCCCGACAACCAAGGAGGCCAACGCAAGCATGCAAACAAAAAGCCGCCGTACCGCATGACGATACAGCAGGAAAAGGCGTGGGCCATATTCACACGGGGCGTTACGCAGGTTGTAACCGGGACCGATACCATTGGCCGATTCACAGACGAACGGTTAGAGCGGTGTTGTGTCGACGCCATCATGGAGTTTTTTGACCACCCGTTGAAGACCGGCCAGCATTACGACAGCATTCTCATCAGTGCGTTGGCCGTCATGGGGTTAGACGCCAATGGAGGGTGGGTTACAGCCGCCAATTACACGCCGGTGTTGTCCGCCATCGTCAAGGGAACGCGGTATTTGGTGTTATACCAGTCCATGTTGGAACGGCGCGAACAGATCATGCGGTTGCAACAGACCATGAGCAAGCGGAGGGCCAAGGAGAAGGCAGATGGGTTATTCCGCATTATCCGTGAAAAGGTATGGCGGTTCATGACCAGGATGCCCGATCAAAAAGAAGCAGACCCAACGCCGATGAATTGGATCATCAACACACGAACGTATGGAATGAGGATCCGATTCACAACGCCCGGCGAAGAGAAGATCGATTGGTTTGGCGACGAGATCAAATGCGGCGGCGTAAAGATCAGCATGGGCAAGATATCGGATATCATGCATAACGCGGTGGCCGAGGCACGGCGGACGTTGGCCAAGTTGACCATGATGGCCACCGAAGCACCGCGTCCCGTGGGTCGTCGAGGGTCGAGTCAGGAGGGACAAGCAAGAAGAGGGGAGGACGAAGACGAGCCGTCGATCCACGACGTATTGCCGAGGATCCCGTGGTCACGCATCGAGGACCGGCATGGCGAGAGCACGTTGGGGTATTCGTTTTTACAAGACGAGGCCAACCGGCCGTGGACCGAAGCGGGGGACGAGTGGGTGGCGAAGCAGTTAGCCGGATCAGCGTGGCGGCGAGAGGCGTGGATGAGCGAGTCGATGGATACCAAGTTTCCATACCGAGGCCAAGCCATCCGAGAATATGGTCGAGAGGTTGAAAAGTTCCGCGGGTTGATGTGGGTTTTAATGCATATCACCGGGGGGCAACCAGCACGGGCACCCGAGTTGTTAGGGGTGCGGATGTGGAATACGATGAACGGGGGGGTGCGGAACATTTTCATCCACGAGGCGATGGTATGTTTTGTGACCATGTATCACAAGGGGTTCCGCAAGTCGTCCGAGATCAAGGTAATTCATCGGTTTTTGCCCCGGGAGGTGGGAGAGTTGTTGGTGTGGTATATGTGGTTAGTGTTGCCGTTTTGGCAGAACGTGCAGGGAACGATCAAGCAGAAGAGGAGGACGAGTGCGTTTTTATGGGCCGACGAGGTGGTGGGAGAAGATGGAAGAAAGGAGAGGAAGATGAATACGGTGGTAAGCAGTTTCGAGAAGCGGGTCAAAGAGGAGAAGAAGATGAAGAGAGAGGCAAAGAGCCAGCAGAGAGAAGCAAGGAAGCAAAGGAAAGAAGCAAAGAAGCAGAGGAGGGCGGAGGAGAGCATAAGAATGGGTAGAAGGGGTAGAGCGGCCGGGAGTGAGGAGGGATGGGAGATGGTCAGTGACGAGCGTGAGACGGTGGAGGGTGAAGAAGAGTGGGAAGAGCAAGATGGGCGTGATGGAGACGAGGTGCCAGACGTGGAGAGTGAAGACAAAGGGCCAGACGTGGAGGGTGAAGACGAAGGGCCAGACGTGCCCGAGGCAACACCAAAGCCCGAAGAGGACCAGGAAGAGGAGGCGGCGTTCATGGAGTGGTTTCACGAGCCCAAATGGACAAGTGATCGAGCCCGGCGGGTGTTGCAGCGGTATAGCGCCGAGTATTCCGGGCACGAGTTGAACATTAGCGTGTGGAGGCACATTGCAATTGGCATTTCCAACCGGTATTTCAACAAAGTGTTTGGGGACGGCATGGGCGACGGGTTCGACGAGGGCGAAGACGAAGGGATCCGCAGTTTGATCGACAGCATATATGATTTGCAGGCCGGACACGGATCACACGTCGGGGGGTTGGTGTATGCGCGGATGTTTGGGCAAGGCGATTTGGGCACGATGCGCAGTCGAGAGCAGTTCCGCAAGGTCAGCATGCAGTGGCACCAGTTTTTCGGATTAGGGGCCGAGGACCGGACGGAGTGGATCACCGGAGCGAAGCGGGGCCGGAGCATGTTCGACGCCGACCGGGAGGATGTGCGGCGGAAGCGGTTCGGACGGTTGCACCGCATGGACATGCAGGGTCAGTTGCAGCAGATGATGGGGCCCGCCGTTGCGTTCCGGGGGTTGCAAGAACCCGTCATACGCGCCGTGGTACGGGGCGAGTGGCCGATTGTGCAAATCACACCGACCGGAGGGGGCAAGAGTTTGACGTTCATGTTGCCGGCGTATTGCACGCCCGACGGGATGACGATTGTGGTAACGCCGTTGGTGGCGTTGGAGAACGACATGAACACGCGGTGTGCGAAGATGGGCATCGATTCGTACGTGTGGAGCAGCCGGGGCGTGCAACGGGCGGCGTCGTTGGTGTTTGTGACGCCCGAGTCGGCGGTAACAAAGGGGTTCCGGGCATTTGTCGAGCGCATGCACGGGCAGCAAAGGTTGGACCGGGTCGTGGTGGACGAGTGCCACACGGTGTTGCAGTGTTCCAAGACGTTTCGACCGCAAGTGGCCCGGTTGGGACAGGTGATGCAGGAGTTTGGGGTGCCAGTGGTGTGTTTGACGGCGACGTTGAAGCCGACACAGGAGAAGGCATTGTTCGCAGCGTTGCGGTTCATCCCGGAGCGAGTACGGATGTTCCGAGAGCCGACGACGAGACCGAACATACGGTATAGGGTGATTATTTTGGAGGATGGAGAGGAGGCAGGTCAAGGGGGAGGGAAGAAGAAGAAGAAGAGGGCGAAGGCGAAGGCGAAGGCGAAGGTGAAGGTGAACGGGGAGGGGGAGGAAGAGGGCGAAGAGGACGATGCGATTGTGGAGAGGGTGTGCGAGATCGTGCGGGCGTGGACGGCAACGCACAGTCGGGGCAAGGTGATCATATACGGGGGGACGATCAAGAGGGTAGAACAGATTACGGCGATATTGGGTTGCGTGGGATATTGGCGAGGGGTGGGCAGCGCAAAGGAAAAGGCCCGGCGGGTGGAGGAATGGAGGAACAGCAAGGGGGGCAAGGCGGGATGGATAGCGTCGACGAATGCGTTGGGGATGGGGATCGACGATCCGGGCGTATGTTTGGTGGTGCACGCGGGGATCCCACGACAGTTGGTGAACGTCGTACAAGAAAGCGGTCGAGGGGGGCGAGGGGGGCAGAGGAGCGAGTCGGTGGTGGTGGTTCGACGGTCATGGTTGGTGCAGCAGAGGCAGCAAAAGGAGCAGGAAAAGGAGAAGCAGTTGCGTGGAAAGAAGAGTGGGCAGCCGGATCAGTGGGCATGGGACGACGACGTGATCGAGTTTGCCGAGGGAAAACGGTGTCGACGAGAGGTGTTGGACCGAGAGATGGACGGCAACAAGGACCGAATAGGGTGCGTGGAGGGGGAAGAGGCATGCGATGTGTGTCAGGGGCATCGGGTGGCGAGGGCGATGCATGAGTTGACGGAGTGCGAACCGTGGTGGGAGAATGAGGAGGGCGAGTGGGTGGATAGAGTAGAGGAGGACGAGGAGGAGAGACGGGAAGCGGAGATTGAGGCCGATTATCAACGCAGTCAGCGGCCGATTCGAGAAAACGAGAGGAATCGGGAGGTACAGGTGATGCGAGAGACGGCCGAGTTGCATCAGTTTGAGGACATGTTAGCCGCGTGGGCGGGACGTTGCGCGGTGTGTATGATGCAGGGTGCAGACGAGGTTGAGCACCGGATGGAGGTGTGTCCAGAAAGGAATACGTGGAAGTGGGAGAGTGTGCAAAAGGGCGTCGAGGACGTGACGGAGGAGATGATAACGAAGCAGAGGTTTGCGCGGTTTTCAGCATGTTTCGATTGCGCATTGCCGCAGGCGATATGTTGTCAGTGGGTGGAGGCAAGCAATGATGGACGGTTATTCAAACGGGATAGGACGAAGAAGTGCCAGTATCCCGGGGTGTTATTCGAGATATTGGTAGCGCAGAGGGTACGAGGGGTAGAGTGGTGGTGGTGGTGGATGAAGAAGATGATGGGAGTAGAGGATTTAGATGCCACCGACGCGGAGGATATGGCGAAGGTATATACATGGTTAGGGGAGATGGTGGAGTGGGGAGGTAGAGTAGGAGGTGCGATCCAAGCGAGTCGAATGTGTCAGGTAGTGACACGATTGGAGAAAGAGTGGGTTGAGGAATAGAGTAGGAGGGTTGGATTATCATCGAAATAAAAAGAGGCCCATACATAACCAGATTTAGTA